TGTTTATTGCACTGTGTGCCCATCACCTAATAGCAAACTATCTTCCGTATATTTGGTCCCTTGTACCTTTCCCTCTGGTAACCACCACATTGCTCTCCGTGTCTCCAAGTTTCAGTTTTATATCCCACCTAAGAGTGAAACCATATGGTCTTTAGCCTTTTCTGACTGACTTATTTCACATAGCATAATATTCTCAAGGTTCATCCATGTTGTCCCAGACGGCAGTATTTCATCTTTTCTTATGGCTGTGTAGCATTCCAAATCTTCATTTCCCAGTTTTCCATCTAAGGACACTTTGGTTGTTTCCATGTCTTGGCCACTGTGAATGCTGTTGCAGTGAACATAAAGGTGCTTATATCATTTCAAATAAATGTTTTTGAGTGTTTTGGGGGTAGATTCTCAGCAGAGGCATTGCTGGGTCATATGGTAACTCTATTCTTAATTTTTTGAGGAAACAGCATACTGACTTCCATAGCAGTTGTACCAGTTTACATTCCCACCAGCAGTGAGTGAGTCTTCCTTTTTCTCCACACCTCTTTAACACGTATTACCTATCTTGTTCATAATATTCACTCTAACAGGTGTGAGGTAGTGTCTCAATAGTTTTGATAAACCATAGGTTTATGTGCAAATAATTTCTGGCAAAGGAACCACAAACACACATTGGAAAAAAGAAAACCTCTTCAATAAATGGTGCTGGGAGAATTGGAAAGCCACATGCAAAAGAATGAAATTAGATTACAGATTGTCCCTTTGTAAAACAATTCATTCAAAAGGGATCAAAGACCTAAATATAAGATCTGAAACAGTAAAGTTCATAGAAGAAAACATTGGTACTAAACTTACGAGCCTTGGTTGTAAAGAACATTTTATATGATTTTGACCCCAAAGACAAGGGAAGCAAAGGCAAACATAAATGAATGGACTATAACAAACTAAAAAGCTTCTGCACAGCAAAAGAAACTGACAAGAAAACAAAAGGCAGCCAACCAAATGGGAGATGTTATGTGCATACAACAGCTCGGGGGAGGGGTCAATATCCAAAATATATAAACAATTCATAGAACTCAACACCAAACAGTGAAACAATCCAATTGAAAAATGAGCAGAGGAACTGAAGAGACACCTATCCTAAGAAGACATGCAAAGACCCATCAGATCTGAAAAGGTGTTCAACTTCACTACCTATTAGAAACCTGCATTTCTAGACAGCACCTCAACTAATTCTGACATACAAGGGAAGACACGAACATATAATACAATTTTTGAGAGATAGTTAAACCCACTATTTCCTTTATGAATTGTGACAGCATGAAAAATCTTCATAGAAAATTATAGAATGTCTCCTAGGCAAAGGACATATATGTGAAAGCTGATAGTGTGCATGAGATTTTCATTTATAAGGCGATGAATCCTCAACCTCATGCTGAAAAAATACCATTAAATATTGAGTTCATTGCAGAATCTTTGTCTTGTGTACTGGAAAAACTTCAATATATGGAGCAGAGCAATGCAAATATTATCGGTCAGTTAAATATAGAGGGGTGGGCAAAATTAGGTTGAGTTGTATGTGAAACAGAGTTTATTCTTGCATTATTTATTAACTATTGTATTATTTATTTGTATTGCAACTGAAAACCTACTTTTGCTTGCCCCTCTATTTAATTAATATTAATGGTGCTTATTTTCCCAATGGCATTGGTCTTAGAAAACTTATTTAAGGTACCCAGAGCACAGCTAAATGATATTTCTATCTGCTCTGCCACTGTTCACACTTTTTTATGTCTACATCTTACTTTATTTTACCAATTATTGTAAAATGAATAGATGCTCATTAAACATTTACATATGACTGAAACACACTGAGTAAAAACCATATCCCCCACCTCATAATTTCCTTCAATCTTTGGATGAAAAACTGTTTACAATTTTGAATGCGCCAAGATATTTTTATTACATATACAAACTAAGCATCTTATATTTCTTCCTTATGTTCTCAAAACTCAAATAAGTCGAAAGCAATCAGGGAAATGTGAAAGACCTCCCTGCTCTACTAGCCTATTGCCGCTGTCACTATGCATCTTTTCTTCTTTCCCCATAAGATGCTGTGATCATCGTAGCGGCATCTATCTAAATCTATGAAGTTACATTAATTTTGAAAAAAAGTGAGCTCTTATGGAGCCAATTTATCATCCAGCTGTTCACTGAAAGAAATCATAATTAGGGATTGTATTAGCCTGTGAGTGGCACCCAGGAAAATAGATTCAGAGGATAAGAGGGTCTGATTAGGGTTGAATGTCTGCTGATATAGATACAGGGGTGTCAGATACACTACTTTAGAAGCGGGGTTCAAAAAGGTGGTAATATTTGGACCAGACTCTCAATCCTGGATGCACATTATCCTGATTTGGAGAGCCTGTAAACACACACATACACACACACCACACACACCACTCACACCACACACACACACACACACACGCACACACACAAACAGACCAATGCCCAGAGCATGAAATTTTGAGGAGCAGGATAAAATGGAGCGTTCTACATGGGTCTGGTTATCAGAATCCAAATGCCTGTGGAATTAAACAGTATTCTCCTATTTATGTTCTGGGAAATAGTAACTAGAAATGTGGACCTAATATGTTTGAAATGCCTTGGATAACTACCCTTGTTATGGGAGATACAGTGTACATTTGCACATTCGCCTTTGACATGCCCTGAGAGAGCCTGTAATTGAGAATCCTATTGAACTTTGTTCTGTTTTCAAGCCCGCCTTTCTGAAGCATATACATGCAACAAATATATTTTTATTTTTTAAAATATTTAATTGATTTCAAAGAGGAAGGGAGAGGGAGTGAGAGATAGAAACATCAGTGATGAGAGTCATTGATTGGCTGCCTTTTGAACACCTCCTTCTGGGGATCGAGCCCACAACCCGGGCATGTGCCCTGACTAGGGTCAAACAGTGACCTCTTGGTTCATAGGTCAATGCTCAACTACTGAGGCATGCCAGCTGGGCACACAGTTTTTATTGGGAACTACTTAGAGCCAAGCCATGCCCCAGGTACTGTGGATGGAAGGCCATAAAAGGGCTTTTGTCTTCTACTATGTAAGATAGACAAATAAATAACAAACAAAAGAAGATCCCCAAATAATGAGTAATATAAAAAAATAAAATAAAACAGGAAGATAAGGTGCAGGGGTGTCAGCTACACCACATCAGAAGCTAGAATCAGAAAGGCAGTAATATTTGGACCAAGGCCTGAAATGACAAGAGCAGCTGGTCATGCAAAGATCTCAAGGGAAGAAACTTGAGAGAGAAGTGAACAGCCTGCCTGAGCCTGGCTTGTTCAAAGACATCTAGCGTGGCTGACACATACTGGAGGTTGTTGCCAAAGACTCTGTATGTTTGATAGGGAGTTTGGATTTTGTTTTAAGTGGTAACAGGAGCAGGGGGAGTGATGTTATTTAATTTACCTTTAAGTATCTTACTGACTGCTTGGAGGGGAAGAGATTTGGGATGGGGATGGAGATATGGTGACAGGGAACAGGAGAATAAAGAAGTGAGGAAGAGGCCATTGAGATGGTTCTGATGACATAATGCTTTGTTGGTCACAGATGAGATGAAGAAAGATGCCCTAATTTTTGATGGTGCCATCACAGAACTGTGTTTGTAAACCTGGGAATTGGTCACATGGGGTATTGATGGGGTGGGTGAGGATGGGGGCAGGAGGCAGATTATTGACTTAAAAGGGGAATCAAATCAAATTAATCTGACTGTGAAACACCCAGACTATTATTTTTATGTATTAGAAAATATTTTGGTAGATGCTGATAAAGGGGTATTTCTGAAGTAGAAAGAAAAGTGGGCAAATGAGGAAACTCCCTGGGTGCTGGTATTCCTAATGCATTTATTTGCCTTTGCCTGTGTGATGTACATGAGATTGACTTATTTGTTGATCCCGTTGTGGTAATAAGGCGATGATGTATCATGAGCCTGAAAAAGGTGGTACATCATCCCCAACTTTGCTTCTACATATGCTGATTGTTAAATAAAAGGAGGAGGAGGAAGAGGAAGATAAATTAAAATATAATTTTTTTTATAACAACTTCTGTTTCATCCTAACGTCTTCCTCTATGGAGCCATGCAGTATGCCACATAGGGGAAACTAAAACCTGCTTACATATTAGGGGCTGTGGTGTGTGGGTTTCACAGGTGAGCTGTGTGTCAAGTAGGTGCATTGCGATATTGTAGGGGGAACATCACTCCTGATCTTGCTGTATAATAGTATTTTGTTTATTTCCCCTATCTTTCTGACCTTTAATTTCCCCACCTATAATTTGACTGTGCTAGTTTAGCATCATTCTCAAGGTCCTTTTAGCTTTCAAATTCTAGAGTCCGTAAGTCTAATTACAGGTCTTTCCAAATTATTATTGCTTGCAATTTCCCTTAACGATTTCTAATGTGCTTATCCAGCAGCATGGTGAAGTTTAACAACCCGCTATTAGAATATAGATCTGACTTGAATGTTGGGTGATACATTTGTTGATGTTAATGAGTAAGTTGAGACAGTGAAACAACAGAGACGTGGCATAACCTTACCCATTCATCAATTAACTGAGCTACTTCTTTGCTGATAGTGGATTTTGAGTACTGATAGATTTTCTTAAGTTTTTGTGCTCTTTACAATGTTTTAAGTTTAATGTGCATTTTAGAGAAACAACACTCATCGAGGTTATCATGGTTAAAAGGTGACTTAATGAGAAATGTGGGATTTAAACTACTCTGAATATAAAGAAAATTTTAGGCAATAGTAACTTCTGTGGTTGGGGAGACATTTGGACGTAACTGGGAACATGATATTCTTAAAGAAGTTAGCCATTGTTACAATAAACAAGCAAATTAGACACTGCTCACCGACACACAAGGTGACAAGGTGAGATGAATATGCTTTGAGTACAACTATTTGCTTCTTTCCTTTTTTTTCTTCTAGGGATTTTCAGGAAACGCAAATGCAGACAGCGTCGTGTACTATAGACTCCAGCCTTCGATCAAGGCCAGGTTTTTGCGCTTCCTCCCTTTGGAGTGGAACCCCAAGGGCAGGATTGGGATGCGGATCGAGGTGTTCGGATGTGCATACAGTAAGTGTTCATCTAGCTCGCTGACATAGCTGTCAGAGGAGAGGTTTAAAAGGCCAGACTCCATGCAGAAATTGACGTTATAGACATGTAAAGAGAGAAAGGAATGTTTCCCCTTTTTATTGAATTTATTGAGGTGATACTGGTTAACAAAATTATTCACGTTTCAGATGCACAGTTTCAAAGCATGTCATCTGTACACTATTGCCTGTGCATTACCCCAAGCCAAATCTTCTTTCAACACCATTTATCCCCCTTTATCCTCCTCCACCTCCCCCCACCTCCCACCCCTGGGAATCCCCAGTGCTGTCTATGGCCATGCGTTTTTTTCTCTTCTTTTTCTTCTCAGTTCCTCCACCCCCGACCCCTATCCCCTCAGCTCTCAGCCTTCTCTCTGTCTATGGGTCTATCTTTGTTTTGCTTGATAGATAGTTCATTTTGTTCATGAGATTCCACATATGAGTGAAATCATATGGTATTTGTCTTTCTCTGACTGGCTTATTTCACTTAGCATAATACTCTGCAGGTCCATCCATGCTGTCACAAAAGGTACGATTTTCTTAGGGGTACATATATTCCTTTGAGTTAATGTTTTGGGTTTCTTCAAATATGTTCCCAGAAGTTGAGTTGTTGGGTCTTACGGAAGTTCCATTTTTAATTTTTGAAGTAACTTCACACTGCTTTCCACAGTAGCTGCACCAATCTGCATTCCCACCAACAGTGTATGAGGGTTCCCTTTTCTCCACTGTTTGTTGATTTATTGATCATAGCCATCTGACAGGTGTGAGGTGCTATATTGCCCTGGGATAGGGAATTAAAAAATAAATAAACAAATGTAACTACATCAAACTAGAAAGTTTTTGTACAACAAAGGAAATCATCAACAAAATGAAAAGATAACCCACTGTATGGGAGAAGGTATTCACCAGTGATCCATCCAATAAGGAGTTGATATCCAAAGTTTATAAAATGCTTACAAAGCTACATACCAAAAAACAAATAATCCAATTAAAAAATGGGCAAAGGACCTGAATAGACACTTTGCCAAAGAGGGCTTACAGATGGCCCATAGACATATGAAAAGATGTTCATTGTAACTAACCATCTGAGAATTGCAAAAAAGGAATTTTTGTATGCCCATACATGCCAATACATCTTTAATATTTCAAATCAGAAATGAAAGCATTTGCCCTGGCCAGGTGGCTCAGTTGGTTGGAGCATCATTTTATGCACCGAAAGGTTTCAGGTTTGATTCCTATAAAGGTCTATACCTAGGTTTGGGGTTTGATCCCTGGTTGGGGTGTTTATGGGAGACAATGGATGGATGTTTCTTGCTCTTTCTCTTTCTTTTCCCCCCCACTTCTTCTCTTTAAAATCAATAAACATATTTCAGTCCTTGGATGAGGACTGAAAATTTTTTTTAAAGAACTGGAAACATTTTACAGATAGAAAAATTGTTATAGAGATAAGTATACATACATGTTTGTAGACATACGTGAATCCATTTATCTAAATCTACTATTATTGACAAACTTTCAGATATTAGAACTCCCCACTCTGGAATATTTTTGGATGTTTCATTAGGGCTCCCTGAATTTCATAAAAGAGGCAGTGTTCTATTTAGTATAAGCTTTGATCTTTAAGAGACCAAAGAATGCTTTTTTCTCCCTCCAGCTTAAAAATAACGCACCATGCAATTCACTTATGCTTCTCCCTCAGCATAAATTCATAGAAAGGGTAAAGACCTCCGCCAAAATATAATTTGTGTTTGAAATACTTTCACATAACAAAGATAGAAACCACAGATTTCACTTAGTCTCCTCTTAATGAAGCATTTTTATTATGTCTTTTTGTGGGGAAGGCACCTAAGAGTTATTGATAGCCCACCTCAAGGCTCCCCATCCTGTGTGATGCTCCTGTATTATAGAACAATGAGTTCCTTAGCGTGATCTACTGTCATCAGAGGAGCAGGCTGAGGTTTGGAGAGATTGAGTAATTTGCCCAGCATCTCACTCTATTACATGAAGAACCCGAAAAGGAATCCAGGACTGTTCAGTTCTACTCCATCATCATTTCTCCACTAAACCTTTATTTTTTTTTTAAGACACTAAAGCTTTCTTCACTTATATTTCATCATGTTGTGATGTAAGTTAAGCTGGTTCTGGCTCACTTTATTTACATGAAGTTGTCTCAACTGTGTCAGATGGAGAATCCATTTGTACAGATTGTGTAGGTCTCCCTGCTACTCAGTGACATTCCTGATGTTCACCTCTGCCAGCAAGCATTCTGTCCTTGCCAGGGCCTACCTGATGGTAATCATAGTATTGATATCAAGAGTAATAACTAGGCCCAGCTGGCATGGCTCAGTGGTTGAGCATCGACCTAGGAACCAGGATGTCACAGTTCAATTCCTGGTCGGGGCACATAGGGGTGTGCAAGAAGCAGCTGATCCCTCATCATTGATGTTTCTACCTCTCCCTCTCCCTTCCTCTCTGAAATCAACAAAAATATATATATATATTTTAAAAAAGCAAGAAGAATCATAATAGTATTAATATTAATAGTATTAATTTTTATCTTTCTAAAAATAACAATTTTTTCTTGAGTGCTTATATCTGCACTATATTAAGCAGTTGTTTTATTATTTGAAAAAATGTCCAGATAAGTATCATTATTTAACAATTCCATTCTCCCAACTTTGCAAATGAGGAAATGAACGCTCAGAGAGGAAGATTTGCTCATGCTACACAGATACGCAGGGACAGAGCTGGTATACAGCCGAGTCCGCCCGAGTCCAGAGCTCAGTCAGTGCTCATGTTCCCTCCAGCTGCTGCATCATAGTGATGAGCCCTGGGCAGCTTGCTTCTCACCATCTGCCCAGCTTCCTGCTGGTTTTCTTGGCTTCAGCAATCAGCTTGGCCGATGCTCTTATGCGTTAGTTCCTCTCTTCATAATTGTCACACTTCAGAAAACTATCCCTAAAATAATATCCCACCCAGATTTTGGTTCTGGTGCACAGAACCCAGCCTGTCTTATTTGTTTTGGATCACAGATGCTAGCAAAGCTCATGCCACAATTTACAAAACAAACTTCAAAATGCTTCATATTTATAATTACATTCAGAGTCTCCACCTTGCAGAATATTTATTTATCGCAGTACAATGATAGCTAACAGTTGTTAAGCACTTACTCTCTGCCAGGTACAGTTTTTATAGACATTCAAATTTAATAATTAAAAATCTCATTTAATGGAGGCTTAGAAATGTTGAGTAATTTTTTTCAGTGTTACACACTTCATACACATTCAATCTAGGATGTAAATTCATCATTAGTTTCACAAGACTATTGAGGCTGTTTTTTCTAAAACTGAAGCAATGCTCATGGTCCTTATGGAAGTAGCTGCTGAGGTACAGGCTCCTTTGAGCTCTCTAACATGTGCTTAATGATAACTCCGATCTGCCCCTCCTCTCTTACGGATCTGGAACCCTGGGTACATTCTTTCCTCTAGGACCTCACTGGCCATCTCTTGGAGTGAGCAAGCACAATGTCCATGTCTTCAGTCAGCCTGTTTTTTTCATTGATCCCCAGTCTAAGGGGCAACACTGGGAGCCATCATGTCTTTAACACAAACATAAACACATACACTTAAACAATTTGATAGGATTCAATATAAAATGGCAGTTTTACAATTTGGGGTAAAAGAGAAGAAGTCGTAAACTTAATAGAGAAATACTCTCAGAGATTGCCTAAAATCACCACAGAATGGGTTGGCTGTGGGTGCTTTGTGGGATTCTATTTGGTCAAATTGACTTCACTAGTACATCATCGTCACACTTATTCATAGCATCAGCCTTACAGAATATTAATTTACTAAAACATGATACTGTATAAACATCATTTATTAAACAGTTAATACGTGTCAGATACTATTTTTTTTCTAGGCATTTTCTGATTCACTGCTAACAACAGAGGGAAGTAGAGCATGAATATTACCATTTTATCGAGGAGTAAGAGGAGACAAGCAGAATTGTTGTGGCTGCGTTGGCCTTTGGCTTGCTCTGGGCACCCAGTGCAGATGGGGCCACTGGCTTCCCCTTTCCTCCAGGAAGAGCTGCAGGTGTTACCAGCACAAGAACACAACTGCAAGGTTCTGTCTGGAATAGTCCAGACCTAGGATCGGGCTGGATTTTCTCCTGATGTATCAGGCATGCTCCTTCAATCCCTATAAAAAGAAAAGCAGTGTTGGGAGGTGAGCGGGGTCTCTCCTGAGGCACCGTCAGGGGACACTGGTCCATGCTGGCAATTAAGTGAGCCTCGTAGGAGTGTGAGGAAGGCCTGGAGGTCTGCATGCCAGCTGCCAGCCCGTGTGCCTCAAGCCTCCTGACATGGGGGACGGGGGAATGTGAACCTTAGAGAAATACAGAACCTTGTTCAGGATTACACCATCCGTGTTAGATCTAGGATTTAAATTCAGATCCACTGCCTTCTAAAGCCGATGCTCTTGACAACTAGATAAATCATACATGCGTTCTCCTTTTAAGTATTTTTTGACATTTGCTGAAAGAGAACTCTACTAGGTATTGAATATAGGGTGAAAATCTAAAATAGTGTGTGTGTGTGTGTGTGTGTGTGTGTATACATATATATATATATATATATATATATATATACACACACATATATACATATTTATTTAATACACATATATACATATATATTGTATAATGTGGGAATCATTATTATATATAATATTTTTGCTTTTGAATGCTAGGTTTAGTTAACACAATCCTTTCATTCTCCATAGCAAAATATAAACACAACAGTATCTAAATTGCTACAAAGTTATAAGACCCAAAATGGAAAATTTACAGGACTGACTGTACAATAAAAGCCAAGAAAGCAATGTACATGTTGCTAAGGTAACCCACAAGGCCACTGTGAATAACAGCCATAACAGGAGGTCCTGGGTGACCCTGCAGAGCTGGCTGTCAACTTGCTCACAA